ACAAACAGACGGCAGGATGTCGTGCAATGTGCATTTGCACCCAACACCTGGATATAGTCAATTGATTCAAGCGGATTCCTTTCTTGCTGCCCGAGTCAACGCTAGTACGCTAGCACTCCAACGCTAGGCAAACGCTGTCCGAGCCATAACTTCGTAATGGCAGAACCTTTCGTGAGACAACTTGGCTTATTTCAAAGCTCTTGGAGCGAGCTTCGATATAGTGAATTCTCAGCTTAATCCGATCGATGGTTTGCACAGCACCCTGCGCGACGAACCCTGGTTATTTTGGCCAAGTCATTCTTGACTCCTCTCTCTACAAACTCGGACTTGAGGGTAGGGGCTGGTCTTGTACCAGGCACCCAAGGACCCTTGGAGGTGACCCTGAGGAGAGGTTTTAAGTTTGATAAAGTCTTAATAGCTTGAGTTTATTAGGCCCTTACACCAACATGTTGTCCGTGTGTATATGATAGGTCATGATGTTGAGGGTGTGTGTTGTATCAATAGCGGGTTATCTCTAGGCGCGTGTTAATGCGGCCGTTTGTGTCTCGCGCGCGGTTTCTTTTTTGTCGTATGTCCCATGCAGGGTTTCTATTTTGTTTTGTGTCGAACGTTCAGCGTGTCGCAGGTGTGTGCAGCAGACCCATCAAGAACTCAAGGATGAGTTTGTGATGAAGAACCCGAGCCTTGGTTTCAAGCTTCATATGATTTCGAAGCTCGCCAAAAAAGGGGTCCACCTCAAGATATTGAAAATTGTTACATTACAAAGTGTAGTGTCACAAATTCAGTTGGTGTAGGCCCTTGTGAAGGGTAGTTTCGAGACCCTTCTTGGTTAGGGACAGTGTGGCACTGTTCCCCATCACTGTACCTCGGCTCTTGGGGTTTGTAGGAGCTGGGAGTCATTCCCAACTCGTAACCCAACTCGTATCTCTTCCTAGTTGTTCGTAATTGTGTGTTCTAAGACTATGTTGCTGCCATAGTGCCGTTTGTTCAAACCGACGTTGTGTCGTCAACTCTTGATGAAATCGTGCGATCTAAATTGCCTAGTCTAGCAACGTCAAGACGCTCTATGACCAGACCGCTATAAATGTTTAAAGCCGTTGTGCAGAAATCTGACTGCGCACTCTATCTTTCGTTTTAGGCACATTTGAGCCTATTGTGACTATAACAAAAATGGCACTGGTGGCAGCTCTAGTGGAGCTGCTGGATCCGAGCTAGGATAGCCGAAGGGTATCGTTTTGAAGGGATGGGAGACACCAGTCTCCAGGCCAGGACGTACCCGTATGGCTACTAAGAAGTTGACTGCAGGATCAAGTGTAGCAGAGAAGCAGCTTGGGACCGAGGATGCAATGCTGATTCTACCTCATGGCTATGACCCGGATGAGGAGGATGAACCTGCCTACTGTTTTCTTGCCCCTGCACCAAAGGAACCAGCTAGCATGGAGGAAGCATTAGCTGGACCAGATAGGGAGAAGTGGCTGGCTTCTAGGGATGCTGAGTACCAGAGCCTGCTAGAGAATGGGACATGGGATCTGGTGGTGCTGCCCGAGGGAAAGAAAGCCGTACAGTGAAAGTGGGTGCTAAGGATCAATACCATCTACAAGAGTAGGCTCGTGCTAAGGATGAAGAATCTTCCTTCTCAGCAGCCTCTTTCTCAAGGGGGAGTGGAGGAGCTGGTGCTGTTTCTGGTCTATGTGGACGACATTCTTCTCTTTAGCAGCAGCATGAAAGAGATCCAGAAAGTGCAGCAGCAGCTGATGGAGAACTTCAAGTGCAAGAACCTTGGAGAGGTAAAGTACTACCTCGGGATGCACGTGGAAAAGGATCCGGATCACATGTGGTTGAAGCTGCACCAGGAGAAGTTTGTAAAGGAGCTGGGGGAGAAATATGGGATTGAGAATGAGCGCAAGGTTGCAACTTCCCTGCCAGCAGAATTCAAGCTTGTGAAGGCTGCAGAGGATGAAGTTGTTGAAGCCGAGGAGCAGCAACAATTCTAGTCCTTAGTGGGCTGCCTCTTGTATGCAGCTGTTCACACGAGGCCCGATATCTCTTTCTCGGTTGGGCAGCTGGCTAGGGTGGTGCAGAATCCATCAGAGGAGCAGGTGGATGCAGCTGAGCGTGTGGTGAAGTATTTGAACTCTCACCCAAGCATTGGAGTCCAATACTCCGCATCTGCACAGGTGAAGCAGAAAGGGGTTGAGGTGCTGAAGGAGAAGGGGGAGAGGCTTGGAGAAGGCAAGCTCTTTCTCACTTGCTTTACCGATGCTACTTGGGCTTCTGAGAAGGAAGATTCTTCATCTGTGAAAAGATACATCTGCGTAGTTGGGGGAGGACCTGTTAGTTGGAGGTCCAAGAAGCAGATTGAGACGTCCCTCTCCTCTGTGGAATCAGAGTACATGGCGATGTTCCACGGGGTGAAGGAGGTGATTTGGCTGAGGAGGCTGTTAGAGGAGATTGGTCAGGAGCAGAAGGTTGCTACGCCGCTGTTTTGTGATAGCAAGGGGGCTCTTGGGATGGCCAGGAACGCTGTGCTTCATAGGCTGAACAAGCACATGTGTATCAAGTGGCACTGGCTGCGTAAGGAGGTGAAGAGGGGGACAGTGAATCCAATCTACATCAGGACTCACCAGCAGACTTTCTCACCAACGAGCCTCATTGGTGTTGTGTGCGCATGAGTGGAAAAAGCATGAAATAGCATAGAATGATGAAAATGCAGCCGGCAGGCTGAGGCGGAATGTGTTTGGTGCAAATTTACATTGTACGACATCCTGCCGTCTGTTTGTACGAGTACCCATGTGCGAATGCATTTGCGTGTGAATGGTGTGTTCGTGCGTTTGTTTGCTTTCGCAATTTTCGCTTGAAGCATTTGCAGGTACTCGCGCAATGTGCGCTTCGGCACAACAATGTACGCGCTATGAACAGTGCAAGCAGAAAGGACGAGCTCGTAAAGGAACCCAAGATGGAAGCTTTGCAGTTCGGTTAAATTGATTGCGCAGATTCAGTTCTATCCAACTCGAGTCATACTGTTTCGTTTGGTTGACTATAGTATAAAAGGGCAGGCACTATAGAGGTACAATTTAGATGTTGTTTGTCTGTATCTGCATGCTACAAAGCCAGGGGAAACCAGCGGAACCAGCATTTGGCTGATTGGGCAAAGACGAAACAGGTTCTGTTTTTAGAACCTGAACCTGGTTGTTGTTTTCCCAGGTTGGAAAAACAGAACATGAGGTTGTTTACCAACCTACCACCTGCTATATTGTCCAGCCAGGTTGGTTCTGTTGCTTGGAAATATTTGGGATCATCCCTGGTTGTTCCCAGCTTGATTCCCAAGGTCCTTGCGAGCTAGAACTATATATTCCTTCTCTGTTTGTACCTAGAGATAGTCAATTAATTAGAGCACATTCCTCCTTTGCTGAAATTTCGTTTCTACGTGGTTCGACGGCGGAATGCTACACGAGTCAACGCTAGTACGCTAGCACTCCAACGCTAGGCAAACGCTGTCCGAGCCATAATATCGTAATGTCGTAACTTTTTGCGAGGCAACTTGGCTCATTTTAAAGCTCTTAGAGCGAGCTTCGATATAGCGAATTCCCAGCTTAATCCGATCGACGGTCTGCACAGCACGCTGCGCGACGTTCAAGGTACTCTCGTTATTTTGGCTAAGTCATTCTTGGTTCCTCTCTCTACAAACTCGGACCCGAGGATAGGGGCTGGTCTTGTACCAAGCACCCAAGGACCCTTGGAGGTGATCCCGAGGAGAGGTATTAAGTTTGATTAAGTCCTAATAGCTTGAGTTTATTAGGCCCTTGCACCAACAGTAACTATAGAACCTAGTGGCTGGTGTCGTCTTTACAAGCTAGGCGCGTAACTCTTCAACTATAAAATCGAGTCGCTCAGTTTGTCCGCCAGTGTGGGGGTGGTACGATGAAGACATTGCAAGCTTTGTACCCATGAGGTCCCTCTAGAACTTGTGCATTTTCGGTCTATTCTGAGATGCGTGTAGCAAGGATGACGTGGATAGTGATGATTCAGTCAAAGAAGAGGCGAGCAGTTGCTTCAGCAGTAGCCGTGACGTTAGTCGGATTGAAATGTCCCATTTTGGAAAACTTATCAATCACCACAAGTATAGCGTTACACCCTCGGGAGGCCGAAGGAAGTATAAATACTTGGCTAACGATTTGCCATGGCTGCTTCGGGTACGGGTAGAGGCTGAAGTAACCCTGCTTTTTTCTGCTTGCTACTCTTCATCCGCTGGAACCTGTAGCAAGAGGTGACAAACTGCTGCACATCTTATGCCATCTGGGGCCAGTATTAATACGTTTCTCATCCCTCTTAGTCTCGTTGCTCCCAAAATATCTCGCTTATGCTACATCATGAAACTCGTCCAGTAAGATCTGTCAGAACTGTACCCTTCCTTACATGTCTTTCTCCCACTGTAACAGCTTCTGTTTCTCTGCTGTAGTGATCTGTGCATCAATGGAGTACCCATGTTAGAATAGATTCTTAAGCAGAGGAATAATCCCGTCGAACTGGATGTCTGCTACATGACCGGGTAATTTTGACCCCCTTTCGAAAATACATCCACAACATGATGGCCTTGACTATCGCTGAGGCTTCCTTGTCATGAATACTGTAGTTTAGTTCAGCTCCGTGTAGCTTCTTACTTAGGTAGGCGATGGGTTGCAAATTGCGTCCGTGATCCTGCATCGCCACTGCTCTAACTGGTTAATCACTAGTGTCTGCTTCCATCACATAATCTTTGTCTGTATCCGGTAGGATGAGGGTTGGCGCCATAGTCAGTGCTATTTGTAGCTACTCCATGGCTTGATGAGTATCCCATATTTAGGGCGTATCCTTAGCTGCTATCTTAGCATATTGTGGCACGAACCCGTTGAAGTAGTTGGCGAAGCTTAGGAGCTGCTGCAATTCTTTCACGTTCTCAGGAACATTCTACGTCTTGACGGCTTCGATTTTCCGTGGGTCCATGTGTACGCTCTCAACACTTAGGGCCCGAGAAACTGTACCTTCTTCAGGGCAATGTCGCTATTCGACAGAATCACGTAGAATTTGTTCTTGTGTAGGATTTCGACGACTTTCCATAGACGCTCTACGTGCCTCTTCATGTTGTATAAGTAGATAAGAATGTCGTCCAGGTACACCACAACGGCCCGCAGCGGCCATAGGATCTGATTCATCTCAGCTTGAAATATTGCTGGTTCGAACGTCATCACCAAGTACTTGCAAGAGCCGTACCTAATATAAAACGCCATCTTGTGGATCGTATTGTCTGTCATTTTAATATATCAGTGTTCCGACCGGAGGGCCATCTTCGAAAAGGCTATTGCACCACACAGTTGGTTTAGAAGATCGTCTACGTGCGGTATGGGTATTTGTTCTTAATTGTCTGTTTGTTCAGTGCCCAGCAGTCGATGCACATCCGCAAGCTACCGTCTTGTTTCTACCGTCTTGTTTTGGAGTGAGGTGCACTGCAGAGGGAGATGGATGGGCAGATCAGTTATCTGTCAAGTAGGTATTCGATATGTTTCCTCATGTCAGTCAGTACGGTCGGACTACGACGGTATAGTGCTCGTGAGACGGGTTTTGCACCTGGTTCCTCCACGATCTCGTGCTCGTGGGTGCGCGCTGGAGGTACTCCTCCAGGCATGTCGTCTGGTATGATGTCTTTGTATTGCTCCAACACCTCTTGTACTGCTACAGGCAGCTCCGAGTTCAGCTTCTCCTCTTTTGCTGCTGCCATAATCATTGCTAAGTATTTCACGTTACTCTTGTTCACCGTCCGTTCGAACCGTGCAAGTGTCGTTTCAGGAAAATCCATTGAATCCATCCAGCTTCGCAGCTCCACACGTTTCCCGGAGTTGTAGATGCACACCTTCGGGTTGACCCAGTCAATCTTTGGGTTGAATCGCTTCAATAAATCTAACCCTTTGATGTTCGTGATCGGCAACGTCGGCTTCCATCTCAACGCACCTATGTGCAGCTGCAGTGATGCGTTACTGTAGATGGGAATCTTTGTACCGTCCACCATCGTTGCAAAAAACTAGGTCTCTTCCGAAGATTTTCCAACTGTCTCGAACGTCCCACGGTGGCACACCGAGTAGACACACCATTGTCCACTAGTGCCTGGAGGCGTTGTCCTTTGCATAACACCTCGAAAAATAGTGGTTTCTGCTGCACTGAGTAGCCAAAGATAGTCTTGTTAATAGGATCATTGGGTACATCAAAATAAATACCATCCCTATGTCTTACAATTGACACAGCTTACAACTTCACCTGGGGGATAGGAAGATTTATCCGAGGCTTGAATATTTTCTCCTGGGCCTGGATTTTCCGTCTAAGCATTTGCAGCTATGTAAGCTTCACCGGGAAATGGAGAGCCTTAACATTCTTTTGCAGGGAGAAAATATTAACTTCACGGAACTCACGATCCTTTTCAACGCTTCGGAGTACTTTGCCCAATTTCTGAAGTACCTGAATAATTTCTAAAGGCTTTTTCTTGGCCTCTAATTCTCCCAAAAAAAAATCTAAGGCTTGAAAACCACGAGAAATTCTTTATTGGGTTATCTTTATAGTATATTTTAAACAAATTCTTATTTTTGTGGGTGTTCTGCTGGGGTTTCCCGGTTGGTGCAGAGTCTTGTTTTGCGAAGTCTCATTTTTTTCTCAGCGAATTCCCTTGGTGCCGGCCAGTTGTGATGTCTTAAATTTGTGCCATCATTTTCTCCCACTCTAAATCGCTACATCGTCACATTTATGCCTTTTTTCCTGATCTTTTCACACTCGCCAGGCCGAATCGCAGCTACTAACGAACCTGTTTTTTTACTTCAGAGGTGCCACACTGTTGTTGCCCAGCATTTTTGGATGTGCATTTTTCATTTTGTAGCATGACAAAATCTGGTGTCCGGCTGCGCCGCAAAATTCGCATTTCTCGGATTTTGCTGGCCGCGGCTTCGCATCGATTCTGTCCATGTCCATCGGTTCGTCGAAAATAGGGGTGCTGATTGCTCCGTGCCAAGAGACCTGTTCGGCACGTGGCGTCGTGTTTCGGGTTGACCAGCGTCAGCGCATCATATCGCTCGGCTGCACAGCGCGAGTTCGATTCTATCGGCTCCAGCGCTGGCATCATGCTCCCCACCCGCGCGTTTGTCTTGGGGCTCTTGGTCTTCGCCGCCATCATCTACTTTTTTTTCACCCGCCACCTCTTGCGCCTATTTTACTCGAGAAGCCCCCCCTTTTTCATCGGCATCCGGATCGTCTATGCCAATGGCCTCTGTCATTGCGACTGCGTTCTCCTCCTTCTAGCAAGCAGAAAAACCCCGCGTCACGGCGATGCTCGCGGTCGCCTCCAACCCTACAAAGTGCATCTCTCTCCCACGGACTACCGCCTCTTGTCATGGCAGCTCCGGAAGGTCGACGTCATCCTCACCGTCGTCGTACACCGTGTCATCCTCGGCGTCATCATATAGCGTGGTGAAGGCAGCCATCGGCAGGCACACGTAGTAGGTTAACCACTCAAGCGGCCTCAGAAAACGGCCTGATCGTCGAAGCTCAGGCTGCTCAGAGTTCACCTCTACCGCATTGCTGTCGATAAACTCCTCTCATCTCGACTTCTCCATTCATCATCACCGGCTTTACTTCCCTTGTCGTCCTGCTGCCAAAGTCGCCGTCACTGCTACTTCTCCCTTGTCGTCGGCTCCCCTGCCGACTGCCTAGTCGCTGGCTCCTTGGTCGGCTTCTCTGCTGGCTGCTCCCCTATCGGCAGCTTCCCTGCCGTCATCTCCTTCACTGACTTAACTGTGGTCGGCGTCACCTCCACCACCTGCTGCTCCCCTGTCTTCGTTGGCTCTGCTTCCACGCTGACTCACTGGATGTCATGTCAACCACCGGCAATGCTACCAGTCAGCGCCTCGGGCGACCTCCCACTCTTCCCAATGTTGCCGGAGGACGGCGTAGAAGTCAGCTCATGCAGGTCGGCAACGAGAGGTGGTAGCAAGGGTAGGAAAAGGTGGAAGGACTTCCTCAGCGTCCTCAACAGCGAGCTCACATATTTCGGCAAGCAATAGAAGTGAAGCCACGGAGGTGTTCATCCTGCATCTGCCTGCATGCCAGCCTGCATCTGCCCCACGCTGGCCTGTGCTTCGACTTTCATTCCTCCAGCGACAATATCTCGTATAACACCACGTCTAACATAGTGACCATCCTGTTGCCAGTAAGGTTGAGGATCTTCCAGCCCTTGCTCTCCTCCGACACACCGAGGTGAAGGCCCTGCCGGGCCTTCGCCTTCAGCTTTCCAACGCGCTAGCTAGGGCGTCGTTGACATACACCTATGCCTCACAGCTGGAACTGGGGACGGTCGACGCCCGATTCGACCTCCACAAAACAGCTCCGGTTCCAAGGCTGAAGCAGTAGCCCTATCTAAACCGCAGCGACTCTACGCCGTCGGCCCACGACGAGTCAGAGAAACCTGTTAGTGTAAATGGCTGCTTTCCTCCAAAGACAAGTCACATGCCTGATGTATTCGCCACATACTTCGCCACCCTCTTAGCAGCGTACCAGTGGGAAGGTTGTTGTCTTCTGGCGTAACAAAACGTGCAAGGACGCTAAGAGGATAAAATATGTCTATGCGAGTGCAGCTCATCAGGTATATGAGACAACCCACCAGCTTAGGATATGGACCATTGGACTCAAATGGCTCGTCCGAAGGTGGAGCCGTGAGCCTCTGATCCACAGCAAGATGCAGATCTGCTCGTGCAGGCCCCCCTGTAGGAACACTGTGGAGAAGTCCAAGGAGTGCAACCCGAAGTCACACCGAGCTGCGATATGCAGCAACATGCGAAAAGGTGGTCATCTTCGAGGTGGGAGCAAAGGTCTGGAAGTAGTCTACCCCCTCTTTCTGACTGAAGCATCTAGCCACATAGCGCGCCTTCAACATCGGTGGTGATCCAGGCGGCCGCTTCACCCTGTAGAACCACATGCCACTGACGACGTTCGTTCCAGGTGGTGGGCGGCATCAACATAGGTGCCTGTGGACCTATAAGATGCCATCTCTGCCTCCTTTGCTGCTATCCAGTACAAAGCTTAGGGTCCCAAGACCGCTTCCTCGTGAGTGCGAGGGTTCACGATGTTAAGAGCGTCTGAATCCCTGTCAGGGGCATGCAGCATGGTGCAGAGATGAGAAACATGATCGTAAGGAAACCAACCTCGAACTACCTATCCCCGGGGACCTTTAGGGAAAAGAAGAAAGCACCTCCAGAGGACAGAGCAGGGCCACTCACCAGGCGAGCGGCGTAGTCAAGGAGATAGACAACGAGGGAGCACTTGAGTGAGTCATCAACGTGAGAGGAAAGGAGGTAGTCGGACAATGGGTCGTGAAGCACAGTGAGGGTCGACTCAGTAGGCTATGGAAGGACAAGAGGAGGTGGAACACGAGAGCGGAGACAATGTGAAACGGTTCATCTGCACGGTAACCGGACCGACGGGGCTTTGGAGACACAGCACGACTTAGGGAACGTCGACTCCACGGGGACGAGGAAAGGGTCTTAACAGGGGGAACATGAGGGAACGGTATAGGACCACGAACCAAGCGTGCAGATGCAGGACTTCCGCGCTACCCTTTCCTGCAGCGGCCACGATCCCCCCTCTACTCTCTCACGCTGTGTCTGTAATTGCACTTGCTGCTGCGAGCAAGACTCCTGCACTACTGCGACTCCTCCTCTACTCTCTCCTCCATGACTGTAACTGTTGGTGGAAGGGCCTAACAAACTCAAGCAACTAAGACGCAATTCAAACTTAAGCCTCTCCTCGAGGTCACCTCCAAGGGTCCCTGGGTGCCTGGTACAAGACCAGCCCCTATCCTCGGGTCCGAGTTTGTAGAGAGAGGGATAAGAAGAACGCAATCAAAATAGCGAGAGTACCTTGAACGTCGCGCAGCGTGCCGTGCAGACCGTCGACCTAATTTAGCTGAGAATTCGCTATATTGAAGCTCGCTCCAAGAGCTTTAAAATGAGCCAAGTTGCCTCGCGAAAAGTTCTGCCATTACGAAGTTATGGCTCGGACAGCGTTTGCCTAGCGAAAGAGTGCTAGCATACTAGCGTTGACTCGGGTAGCATTAAGCCATTGAACCGCGTAGAGAACGTAATTCCAGTAAGGAAGGAATCCGCTTGAATCAATTAATTATATCCAGGTACAAACAGAGAAGGAATAAATAGCTATAGCTAGCAAGGGCCTTGGGAATCAACCTGGGAACAACCAG